CTAATTACTAAAATTCTAAGGCACACCAAAAAAAAGTATTATATTTTTGCCAATCTGGAAAAAAAAAAAAAAATCACCCACAAAGGTGTAGTTTTGATTCATTCGCACTGATGACTATTGTTGTATTGGCTGTTGTCATTTCTGTGTCTTGTTGTGTCTCTTCTTTCTTGCTTTTTTTTTTTAATTTTCACCTAAGGATATGTTTATACTGTTAGTTTTTTTTTGTGTTTTTTTTTTTGTTTTGTTTTTTTAGAGAGAGAGAGAGATAGAAAGGGAGAGAGAAACATCAATGTGAGAGAGAAATATCAAGCAGTTGCCTCCCATATGACCCCCAACTAGGGATCAAACCCACAGCCCAGATATGTGCCCTGTTTGGAAATCAAACCCATAACCTTGTGGTGTACAGGATAATGATCCAACTAGCCAAGTCACCTGGCTAGAGCAGTTGTCTTTTTTACTTTTGACAATCTAAGTAAGCAAAAAAGAGGTCAGTAGCCCTGACTAAGTAGTCAAGTATTGCATGTTTCAAAAATTCTTGCAGCACACCAGCATGGCACAGCACATCAGTTGAAAATCACTGGTCTAGGGGGTTGAAAGCTTCCAAAAGTACAGATCATAATTCTTTCACTTAAAAGAATTGGTTTTTACATTAAGGATTAAGTTTTCTAAGAGCGTCAGCCTGAGGACCAACGGGTCCTGGGTTCAATTCTAGTCAAGGGCACATACCTCGGTTGCAGGCTTCTCCCTGGCACAGGCACTGGTCAGGGCTCATACAGGAGGCAACCAATCAATGTGTTTCTCTCACATCAATGTTTCTCTCTGTGTTTCCCTCTCTTTTCCACTCTCCCTAAAAAGCAAAAAAAAAAAATATCCTTGGGTGAGGATTAGCAAAAAAAAAATAAATAAATAAAGGATTAAGTTTTCTGCAAAGGTACCGTTATCATTTCAGGCGAATGGAGTGCAAACAGAAAGATGGCGGAAATTACTGAGAGATGGAAATAGTAGCTCATACTTCCCGGCTGCACAGCTCACTAACCTGGACCACCTGGGAGCTCAGAGATCCAATAATCTTGGATACATTATCAGGAAGATCACGTTAGATCAACTTAAATCGTGCTTCTGGAAATCAATGCATATACCATGATAGTGCCAACAAATTGAAGACAAGAAGATACTGAAAATCATAAGGCCTAGTTTTATTTACATACAAGTCCATATTATGAAATGCCAGCAGAGACCTAATAACTAAAAACTGCTTTTAGTCTTCTTCAAAGTATTTCATACCAAATGCACTAACTGGTGTCACATTGGGCCATGAACATATTGATATCATTTGGACCATTTCGTATTTTTTAATCATCTTTTCATTTCATCCTCACAGAATCATACAAGATGATCACTGGAACTGATCTCCCCCTATGGAGCAATCAATTCCCATTGAATAGGAATCCATTATCACAGGCCTCTTTCACATTCTCCCATGGGTGTTCACAAGGGTTATGCCTGATTCTTACCCAGTTATCTCTAATTACACCCATTTTTTTCCACATAAGAAGCAAATACATAAATAAGAAGCAACTTCAATTTTTTTAAAAAATCATTCTGGAATCTTCAGTACTCAAATTATCTTAATTTAATATCATAGGACACCTCACAATTTATCAATAGTATATTAGTATCCCAACAAACTAGTTTAGTACTGTGTTTCTGAACAGTATAAAATACAATTATGAGCAAGTATTTTCATCTACAATATTTTCAATAAAAGCAAATTTCTTACAAAAAGAGCTCAAAATAATTAACACAGTTAAAACTTGAAAGTGAGTATCTTATCAAAAAGCCACTATTATATATTTGAATATGTATTTGTAGAAGATGCCCTGATATATTTTAGTTGGAAACACTCTCTTTAATATTCTTAACCACTTCACATCAATTTAGTTTTATGGAACCTTTTTAAAAATATATCTTTTCTTAGCCTCTGCAAAGAAAAGAGGCTATATTCTTAACAGTGGATGATTGAGAAAATCACCATACTGAATTAAAGAGTTAAAATGTGAGAAAGGCAAATAATAATAAAAAGATCTTTATACTCATCTAGTCCAAACCACCAAAGTATGACTCTCAAGCAGTTAAAATCAAGCTATTCCCATGACAGGGAACTCACTACTAGGCAATTCAAGTCATTTTCAGACAACTCTATTCGATCTTTTTAAGACTGTCAAATATCTGCCTCCTTAAATCTACCCATTAGATTCATACAAATCAAGTCAAATTTCTCTCTTACACAAATATTTTCAGAAAGTGATCCTATAAACTCTCCTCTACTCTGTTCTGCCCACAATTTTGCCTCGCATGTAAATAGATGAATTTCCTTCATGCATTCCCCACCACGGGGCTTCAAATGCCCAATGATCCTATTCCAATATATAGATCCTTTCAAGGTCTGGCTTCAGTACTGAACACAATACTTAAGTTCTCCTCGACATCATAAAATACAGAGAGTCTCTCTATCACCTGATTCATTGAGGACACTTTAGTTCTAGTAAATGCTGTACTTGGACACAGTGGCACTGATTAACATCAAGCAGTTAGCTAAAAGGGCTGTGCCTTTCCCCAGAAGGCTGCTGTTATACAACTGTTCTCGATATTTAATTGTGAAGTTTATGCAAAACTGCATTTTCTGTTGTTAAATCTGGTCTTAATTCTGACCCCAAGTCCCAACTATTCCTCTCTAGAGCTATCCCTCTAGACATAAATGACTTGAAAATCTGATCACACACCAACATTGTCATCCAGTGAAAAGAAATAATTATTTACCATTAGCACAAGGACTATATGAGTAGGAACTCAATAATCATTAACTGAATAAATTAGTTCACACACTCTTATTTAATCCCATTATGTAAAACATTTCCAGCTCCATTTATTATGATACTACTGAATATCTGTGAGCTTAGATTACTCATGATGTTCTGTCTCCCAACCTTGTACTTTTTAAACTTTTCTTCATTACCTCTCTTCATTCACTGGGAAAGGTATTGAATCAAACAAGGATGGGAGCAGAGGTCCTGAAAATCCCTCAAAATAGAACCTATCCAACAATAGTCTACAACAGAGTGGGGAACCTTTTTTTCTACAAGGGGTCATCTGGATATTTCTAACATCATTCACAGGCCATACAAAATTATCAACTTAAAATTAGTCTGCTATATTTGGTCAAACATTTAATTAACACCCCTAATGCCTTGGCAGGGCCTGACCAAATGATTTCATGGGCACCGGATGTTGCACACCCCTGGTCTACAATATGAGTAATGCCATTCAGCTACCAATAAGTTATCTACCCAGTCTGTTCCAAACTTCTTCATGCTACACTCATTTAATGGCTCCTTATTTATATTCCTAATGCCATCATAATAAATGAGAAACTTAAATATCTGATGTTAAAATGAGTTTTGATATGGAAACAGTGAGGTAAAAGTGGTACTGTTTTAAAAAACTACTTAGTTGTGTGTGTTTTTTAATTTTGTAAATTAGTCTGTGAATGATATTTGCATATCTAACATATATTTTTCAGAAATGTTTTACCACTATCAGAATCATGCCCTGAAGAACTTGCCTGGTACTTCTAGGAGTTTAGAATTTGTATAGTAATTTTTGTAACTATAATGTTACTATGAATTGGAATTTTTCTCTGATATTAATAGTACCAATGGCAGTGTGTAAGACAGTACCTTTAATCAGTCAGAAAGCCCATCTTAACATTATAGATCTTTAATATAAACTCATTAATTCACCATAAATAATGAAATTGTGTTCTCTTACTGTGTTTGTCTTAATTCAGTGGCTACCTTAAATATACAATTTATTTCGACTGCTCCCATTTCAAAACAAGAAAAAAAGATTATATATCAAAAAGACCAGACAAGCTGAAACTGGTTTGGCTCAGTGGATAGAGCATCGGTCTGCGGACTGAAAGATCTAGGGTTCGATTCTGGTCAAGGGCATGTACCTTGGTTGCGGGCACATGCCCAGTAGGGGGCATGCAAGAGGCAGCTTATCGATGACTCTCTCATCGATGTTTCTATCTCTCTCCCTTCCTCTCTGTAAAACATCAATAAAATATATTAAAAAAAAAAAAAAAAAGACAAGACAAATAAGTGACTCAGTAAGAACATTCATAATCTTAGCTTTTGCTCTCTTATACAAAAGCCAACATTCTAGCATTTTCTCTCTTTTCACCTTTGAGATGTTAGAAGTTAATAGACTGATTCCTAACTTGAAATTTCAGTTCGCAACATAGCCTTAATAAAAAAAAAAGTGTATGCCTAGCAGAGAACACACAGACTTAAAAAGTAAAATCAAATAAATCCTAATGATTGTATGGCACACCGCTGGTTCCATACAACAGAGCTCTTAAGTGACCGTGAAATTTCAATGCAACAATGCTACAACCCCATCTACTGGAGAGGTGCAGGTAACTGAGTCAATTTTTAATAAATGTATCCTATGTGGGAGCCATGTTAAAAACCCATATCATGGCCCAGCCAGTGCGGCTCAGTGATTGAGCATCAACCTATGAACCAGGAGGTCACAGATCGATTCCCAGTTAAGGCAAATGCCTGGTTGTAGGCTTGATCCCCAGTGGGGGTCGTGCAGGAGGCAGCCGATAAATAATTCTCTCTCATCGTTGATGTTTCTCTCTCTCTTCCTCTCCCCTCCTCTCTGAAATCAATACAAATAATAATCTATAATAATAAAAGCGTAATATGCTAATTAGAGCAGACGACCTTCCGGATGAATCCAGGGTTTCGAGGGAAGCCAGTGCTGGCAGCTGGGGGAAGGAAGGCCTACTCTTGCACAAATTTCATGCATTGGGCCTTTAATAGTAAAATAAAATAAAAACTACTAAAATTCTTAATAAGAAAATAAATAAATAAAAACTAGTATCATGGAAATACAAATAAAAATACTTCACAACAGTAAGAAAGCCTTACCTACATCTTTTCGTCCTGGTTTTTCAAAACGTCTGTCACCCCTAGAAAAGATAAGTTTCAAACAAGATTTGAGAGTAATATACAGATTTCCCATCTACAACACACACTTTCCTATGTTTTTTAGTAGCATTTTTTTTCTCTTTCAAATTATAAAACAAATAAATGGTTATTGCCTTAACATTTGGAAACTATAGAAAAGCAAGTATGAAAACAAAAATATCCATCATCTCACATACAATAGTTAGATTCTACTGCCACAGAAATGTTATTTTTTAATTAGACATATTTTTAAATTAGACATATGCTTATTTTAAATACATGCTGTACAGTTTTTAGATGTTTAACAAAGTGTTTTCCCACATCATTAAATATTTTTAAAATCAACCGAACTTTAATGGTTATAAAGAATTAATTGGGTGGAAACACCATTATATTAAAAACCATGCTGGTATTGCTGTTTGACTTGCTTCCAGTTATTTCATATTATAAATATCACCACAGTGGACTTCTATGCACATACATCTTTTTTACAAACAATATAGAGAAGATGCTTTAACTGCAACAAATGAGAAAATATCAATGCATCCCACTGAACGCTTGTCAAATAACAAATGCTATTAACTATTAAATATCTAAGCAGACAAATAACCTATTTACCTAAAATACTCCTTTTTAAATAAAGATCATTTAAATTTTTCTTACATATAGCTTGACATCCAATAATTAACAGCATTTTTTAAAAATGAAAACTTGTGCCCTGGCAGGGTGGCTCAGTTGCAGCACTGCCCATTACACTAAAAGGTTTCAGGTTCAATACCCAGTCAGAGCACATACCTAGGTTGTGTTTACAGGAGGCAACAGATCAAAATCTCTCTCTCTCTCTCTCTCTCTCTCTCTCTCGCTCTCTCGCTCTCTCTGTGTGTGTGTTTACAGGAAGCAACAGATCTCTCTCCCTCTCTCTCTCTCTCTCTCTCTCTCTCTCTCTCTCTCTCTCTCTCTCTCTCTCTCTCTCTCTCTCCTCAATTGGCATATCCTCAAGTGAGGATTAAAAAAAGAAAACATGTAATTGTACAAAGTGGCTTCCCCTCTACAAAAAGCAGAACAGAAGTTTTTCACACCAAGTAACCTTTATACCAAAATGTGGAATATTTAGTTACCTTTCCTCCCAGCTCTGCGACCTATGCATTTCCCTGCTACCTCCTCGGCCAAACACACCCTCTACTTCATCAAAGCTTCTTTGGTAAAAACCGCATTCACCTCTGCCTCTGCCTGAAAATAAGAAAATAGAAAAAATGATAATCAAATGTCAACATTTGGCATATGTTTAACACCAAAGATTAATCTTGGAAGTTGTCTCTATAAAAAGCAGAATGTATACATTTAAATATTTAGTGAGGCCCAATGGATCTTTACCTGTGAGACCAACGATGGCACTGAAGTAGCTAGACCACAGGAGGTTGAAAGAAACAAGTTAGTAAACTGGTATAAGAGTCCCAGTCCCAGTCCTGAACAAGAAACAGTGTCAATATTAAGCTCTTTAATAAAAAGTCCAATAGTGAAATTCTAAAGTGATTACTAAACAATTATTACAAGTTAAAACTTTTATTATTTTCAACAAAAATGGAAGATTTTTGAGAGTTTACAAAGAAAGCAGATGAAGTACAAAAGCCAAGTACAAATATAAAAATAATACAACTCCTGAGAAAAAATAATTTAATAGGGTCAACTTTAAACCATACGTTTTATAAATTAACTCCTTAAAGGATATTCCACAGAAACCAAAGATACTTTCCTTTTTGCTCAAACCTTAAAAAGTATCACAAAGAAATTCAAGCCACAGAGCTAATAGGAATGTGTGGATGTAAGAATTTAGGAACTCTAGTGGTTTAAGTGTAAACTGGCTTTTACTAAAGGCAATTGGTTAGATCTATAAAAATATGACTCAAGCCGAAACCGGTTTGGCTCAATGGACAGAGCATCAGCCTGCGGACTGAAAGGTCCGGTTCGATTCCAGTCAAGGGCATGTACCTTGGTTGTGGGAACATCCCCAGTAGGGGGTGTGCAAGAGGCAGCTGATCGATCATTCTCTCTCATCGATGCTTCTAACTCTCTAACCCTCTCTACACCTTTCTGGAAAAAATCAATAAAATACATAAAAAATAAAAATAAAACTGGCTCAACAAATTCTAACTTAGAATTTATCCTAATAGAAATAATCTCATAAATATGTAAATGCAGCTGAAACTGGTTTGGCTAAGTGGATAGAGCGTTGGCCTGCAGACTGAAAGGTCCCAGGTTCTATTCCTGTCAAGGCATGTACCTTGGTTGCGGGCACATCCCCAGTGGGGGGTATGCAGGAGGCAGCTGATTGATGTTTCTAACTCTCTATCCCTCTCCCTTCCTCTCTGTGAAAAATCAATAAAATATATTTTAAAAATTATTTTTAAAAAATATGTAAATGCACACATATAAAAATGGTTAGTATAATTTAAAAAACACAAAATATAATCAATAAGGACTGGCTAAATAAATTCTGACAAAATTCAGTAGAACACTAGGAAGGCACAAAAGATAAAGTACTGCCAGTTAAAAAAAATCTACATTATTGCTCTCGCTGGTTTGGCTCAGTGGATAGAGCGCTGGCCTTTGGACTGAAGAGTCCCAGGTTCGATTCCAGTCAAGGGCATATGCTTGGGTTGCGGGCTCAATCCCCAGGAGGGATGTGCAGGAGGCAGCCAATCAACGATTCATCATTGATGTTTCTACATCTCTCTCTTCCTTTCTCTCTAAAAATCAATACAGTTTTTTAAAAACAACATTATTCTGTTGGAAGACAAAAGCATGCCAAAGAACAATGCACATAAAAGTGATTCCACTTATATAAATGACATAGCTGCATAGTTTGGGTCAGGAAGGTTATATGTACAATTGCTGGATTTAGAGGCAAAAGACAGTATAAATTGTGAGCTTTATACTTTCTATACAGTGTGAGGATTCTCCAACTAATGTGCACTGAATGTTTCCAACATACAGGCTTGAAAATGGAAGGAGGGTGGGGTTCTAGGGATGTATTTATACCTAGATGAAATCTAAGCCATCATCCCTAGCTCAACTTCTCCAACAGGTTAAAATCACCCGAAGAAATTGATATTGAATCTTGAATAAAAGTATGGATGCATTCCAGAGCTAAATACAATTTGAGTTAAATAATTACTTCAAATACCCAGGCAGTATTGCTATATTTTGGTTATAATTTCTCAAGAATTGACTCAGAATACAGTTGTACTTTAACATCTTACTAAGAAATACAAAAATAATGGACAAGATTGTATGTGGGCAATTTTAGAAACAATGTATACCTTCTATTTAGTCCAACTATCCATGTCTTCATTTGTAAAACATAGATGAGGACTAGGGCTGAACTGTAATTATCTTAAACTTACCTTCTTGTTGTGTGAACCTTAAGTCAACTGAAAGTCAACTCCCAATTTCAGTAACTCTCTCCTTAGGAAATATATACATTTTATTTAAGGTCCTCCTAAAACAGTGTAATACAAACTGTTATACAATACTGGGATGATCCCTACAATAATATTGCGGGTAAAAGGAAAACAGTACCGTGTCCTTTTAGAGAACAATTTTCTCTGGAAAGCCATTAAGTATGTATCACCTTGAAAAAAGTATTTTATTCTAAAAAACATACCAGTACGAATAGGAGAAATAGCCTCCAGGTTGCCCAAAAAACAAGCAAAACACAGATGAAAGATTTTCTGCCAGTTATGACTTGGGCAAGTATTGGAACTCCTTATGAGACTAAGGCTTTATAAGTGGGCACATAAAAACAATTGATTCTAGAGCTTCCCAGCTTGTAGAAAGTAGAAATAACCTTCATAGTGCACAAGGTCCATAATCCTTTATAAGTGTACTTCCCAGATAAGAAGGAGCAAGTAAATATAACATGAATCTTTCATAAAGTTCAATTTGAAGGACTGACCTATTACCTGAGATTTCACACTATTCTTTTGAGGGATTAAAATATTATTTTCTTTTAATGAAGACAATGGTTGACAATTGTGTGAATCTGCTTTATTATTAAACATCTTAACCAGATAAAATAGAAAGATGATAACTATATTGTTTCCCCCCACCCCTTATGTTTGTTTAAATTTTACTAATTCGAAATCTTTAGAAGTTGGAAAATCAGTCAATTTCCAAGTCAAAGTTCCTTCAAGTTGGAAAGAGGCAGGATTATCATCTAATATTAGCTCTGCCCAAGCAAAATAAAAGAAAAAGGGGGGCGGGGGGGAAAAAGCCACAATAATCATTATTTAACCAAGTTAAAATTAAGTAATGAGTGATTATAAAACCATATCCATTAAAAAGAATCACAATTGAGACAGTGGTGTTAGAAGTATTTTTCACAGTTCATTCATTTGACTAAGTTTCAAGCCATTCTTTTACACTAATGTTAATTCACAGCTTTCATCATGGTACCTATCTTTTGTGCAAGCCCTGTTTAAATTGTGAACGAAAGACTTCTATCCCGTGTGATAACCCTACACTTCAAAGAAACCAGAAAGCAGGGAGAAATGATAAATTTATCACTCCCTTACTTGTTCCTCAATATGGAATTTTGTTTAAGCCTGTTTAGAGAGACTGGCTGGTATTTGCAGCACACACAGTTGATAGTCACTTTTGAGGCACATAAAACAGCTGGCTTGTGGGCCACACTTCTTGATTAACAAGAACTTTCTATGTCTTGCCCTGAAAAGCACTTGGAGACAAAGCTGAGAACAGGCAACCTCTCCTTGCTGCCAGCCCACTGCAGAGAAATACAGGAAACACCCCATAGCAGATTGGAGCCATCTCCAAATCACTACCACACACCAAAATAGATACACACATCTCAAGTCGAATTCTAGATCAAAGGAACCTAAATACACTTGGAAATCTCAATGGTGTGTGGAGCTTTTGAAGCACACACATACCTTAATTTCTCTCACAGAAGTGTTTCTTTAAGTTTTACAGATGATTCTAACAACTCCCCAGGTTAAAAACCACCATTCTAGAGACTGACAAATAATTCAGAAGAAAAAACCATGTACAACAAATATAACTCAGTAATAGTAACAAGCCTACAAGTTGAGTTTTCATTAACCTTTACATTATTTATAAATACCCGCATTCCAGATTCTGAATGGACTACTAAAAGAAACCTCTTCACAGGAATGCACATTTGAATCCGGTCTCTATAAAGACTGAGTATAAATTATTCTATTCATAAGACACAACTTTAAGAAAAAATAATTAGCCTAGCTAGTGTGGCTCAGTGGATAGAGCATCAGTCTTCAGACTGAAGGGTCTCAGGTTCGATTCCAGTCAAGGGCATATACCTGGGTTGCGGGCTCAATCTCCATTAGGGGGCCTGCAGGAGGAAGCCTATCAATGATTCTCTCGTATGATTGATGTTTCTATCTCTTTTTCCCTCTCCCATCCTCTCTAAAATGAATTTTAAAAAATTATTTAAAAGAATTTAGATCCTCCACACACATAATCATGTCAATCTGGCTGGTGCGATATGCAGACACAATGTCCTCTGCCATTGCAGATACCCAATTCTTGCATTTCTAAAGCATTCTTAAATAAAATGACAAGGGGCATTTAGACTACTACTAAAGGGATGTTTAGCCAACTTATAGGTAAATGCTCAAGTAAATATTTATATTATAAACATCAAGAATGTCCTTAAGTAGCAGAAAATCAACAAACCCAAAATAGAAAACAGATAAAAAAAAAAAAAAAACAAGTAATGTTGAAATAGGAATTGTTCTTCTAAGACAAGACACAAATCTGTAAAATGTAGGTTAAGTGACTGCTACATAACTATTTTTTATTCTAGCCCCTAAAACAGCCCTAGTTTTGATGAGACAACTTTTACTAAAGTCTCTCTGGGTCTGGGACACCCTTGACAGGTGGCCTTCCATAGAAACCCTGCATCACAGAGGCCTGCAGGGCCTTTGGTGCTGCTCAGCAGCAAGGCACTTCAGAAACTCTGGCTCTCCAAGTGCAAAACTCCCTGGGAACAAAGATTTGCAAAAGTTAACGAGGACCACCTTGAATGCTTCACACTCAAATCTCTAAGCTAGAATTACCCTCCTCTGTTCCACATCAGGGCTTGTGAAGCAGACACATCAAGAAATAACTCAGGCCTGGCAAATATGGCTCAGTGGTTGAGTGTCAACCTTTGAACCAGGAGGTCATGGCTCGATTCCCAGTCCGGGCACATGCATGGATTGCAGGTTCAATCCCCAGTAGGGGGTGTACAGGAGGCAGCCAATCAATGATTCTCTCTCATCATTGATGTTTCTATCTCTCTCACATTCTCCCTTCCTCTCTGAAATCAATAAAGATACATTTTTTAAAAATGGTTTAGAAAGCAAATGTTCAGGACATTTAGTATGCAGTTAATGTCAAAGAGCAGGTTTTTTGTTTTTTTTTAAATCAAATATTAAAATACTTTTTAAGTGGTTTCCTATCCTCCACCTCCTCCTCCATTATTACTTTTTCATATAAAAGCTCACCTCGCCCTCTTGAAGAACTTCGACCTCTAGGAGCCCCCACCACTGTTCCTCCTCCTCGTCCTGTCAATCGCAGGACAGCGGCACTATTTACAGACATGGAAAAGTTTCTCTGCCAAAAAAAAAAATTAAAAAGAAAGGAAAAAATGGATAAAACAGATAAAACTACATGGTGCTTCTCCCCGTCTCCCAATGCATCTATAAAATGCATATAATTACTAATAATAATGGGAAACCCTAACTACACAACATACTAAGATGATCTAAATCCTGATTTTAGTTAAAATTTTCAAATAAACATTTCAGATCAACAAACATTGGCAACCAAAGCCTTACACTATGCTACATTCTGTGAAGAAATATTAAACTCTAAAACTGTGTATATCCAAAGCAGACATGGTGAATATGCATTATAATAGAGAAAACTTGGTAAGAAATTTGATTTGAAAGGGTCCTCCAATTAGTGAAATGTAGAAATAAGAGGGAATCACAAAAAGGTCTGAATCAAGAGTAGCATGATAAAGAGCAAAATGAATTATCATTTTTGCCTCATTCTGCTCACCAAAGTGAATCAGCAACTCCAACTAGTAGTTAATAGAATGAATGAATCGGAAGTAAATGGTGATGGGCCAAAAAAGAATCTACTTAAGACCAACTACCTTAATGGAGAGAGGGAGGAAATGCTTGAAAAAAATAAAACCCCAATCAGTCTTCACCTACACTTGAACCCACAGCCAATCTGGAATAGGGTCCAGTACAGTAAGACAGTAATGGGTGGGCATCCTTCATAAATAAACAAGAGGAAGACAGGAGGCCTGGGAAATCAAAAATATGTTTATAGGACTTAGGAAAAAAATAAAGCAAGAGTATAGTAACCTTGAAAAATGGTCTATAAAATACAGCAGTTAGCCAAAACCGGTTTGGCTCAGTGGATAGAGTGTCAGCCTGTGGACTGAAAGGTCCCAGGTTCGATTCCAGTAGAGGGCATGTACCTTGGTTGCGGCACATCCCCTGTAAGGGGTGTGGCAAGAGGCAGCTGATCGATGATTCTCTCTCATTGATGTTTCTAACTCTCTATACCTCTCTCTTCCTCTCTGTAAAAAAATCAATAAAATATTTTTTAAAAAAATACAGCAGTTATAAGCAGATTTTCAAGTGCATGGGTAGTGGGCACCTCTAACATCTACATTGTTCAAGGACCAATTTTAATTTAATTTGAAGGAGATTTCACAACAATTTTAAGAACAGAAAATGTTGGAATATATCCCTACATGAATACTTCCTATATCCTTAGAACCTAAAAGACATTTGTGCACAAGTTCAGACGTGTGGTGCACTGAGGAAAATGCAACTTGGGCATGGCTATTGCCAAGGACACTCCTGGAGAAGAGCAAAAAGTGAGACTTAAGAAAAGGGTTGAAATATGTTTTTTTCCCCAATTAATGTTTTTCACCCTAATTGTTTTTCACTATTAAGTCCTAATTTGCTATTTTGATTCAAACTCAATTATGTGATAGTTATACCTATTAAAGAAATTGACATGTAGTTGGTGGAAAATTTCTACTTGCATTATTGAATTTCTTGTTTTAATATAAAATAACACTTTCTCACTACCTGTCTCATTACTTGTCTCAGGTAAATTTTATATACTTATTAATGTAATTACTTTTTCTTTGCATTTGAGAGGTATACAATCTATTAACATGTAATTTCAAAACTGAAAATTTAAGATTTAACCAATAACTAAAAATTACAGTAAGACACCCAACTTGAAAACACTTATTTCTAACTGTGTTTTTAAAAAGCTGGTTGAAACAATATATATAAAAAATATATATATTAAAAAAATTTTAAACTTTATCTTTCACCACCAAGTAACCCATTAAATTGTTGAATAATGCCTCTAAGATCACAAGCTATATTATGAAGTCTCAAATCTAAATTAATATATTCTAATACTGGAAAAACAGAAATTAGGGCTAACTGCATTATGTATGCCAGGATTCACCTTACTACCAAACTATAACATATATAAAACTCAAATGCACCCATCCATAGAGTGTGGGGGAAACTCTCATATGTTTACACACATCCTCATACATTGCCCCTGAAAGTGCAAAATGGTATAATCTCTGCAAGGCAATTACTCAAAGTATATTTAAATGTCCATAACCTTTGACACAATTGCTCATTTTACATTTGTGAAAAATTATATAAGCAGAAAGATCTTTAACTGCAACATTGTATTTTTGTAAAAGCAAAATATAGAAACCAGCTTACTATCAACCAATAAAACTAATCAAAAAATCATGGCCATCTATATATGGAATTCTATGCAGTTGTTTTAAAGAATAAAGTAACTATTTATTAGGTTGGATCATATGAAATTGCTAAAATTCAGTCATTTCTGATCAACAAAACTGCAATTTCATATGATCAACCTAGTTTATGAAGATATAAAGCACAGTTGTACTTGGGAGCTTGGAGAAATCAGATTGCCTGAAACTGAATTTTGATTCCTTTACTCAGCTTCTCTGTATCTCACTTTCCTCGTCTATATGATGTGAATAGGAATGATATTTCTATCTACTTCATGTTTGCTGCAAACATTTAATGCATTAAACTGCAAGTGCTATGGATTGTTGCAAACATTTATTGCATTAAACTGCAAGTGCTAAAAAATATATATATTAAAAAATTTTTAAAAACCTGCAAGTGCTTACAACAGTGTCTGACACTTATTAAAAACTAAACAAATATTTGCCATTATCTCCTAAGCAGATGCTTAGGTGAAATAGGTCAAGTGTAGAACTGTGTGCAGAACATGCTACCATTTATGTATATGGGTGTTTAAAGGAATTGATTTACAGCTGATCCTTGAACAACATGGTGTGAATTGCACAGGTTCGTTTACAGGTGGATTATTTCCAATGTAATAAATATATTTTCTCTTTCTCATAATTTAACAGTTTTCTTTTCTCTAGCTCACTTTATTGTTATGATACAGTATATAATATATACATATAAAAAATACGTGTTGATCAACTACTTATGTTATCAATAAGGATTCTACTCATAGTTAAGTTTTGGGAGAGTCAAAAGTTATATGTAGATTTTTAGCTTGCAGAGGAGGTAAGTATTCTTAACTCCCACATTGTTCAAGGGTCAACTGTATGAACAGTTAGTTGCAGATGTAACTTGTTCCTGGAAGAGAACAAGAAAATAAAAACAGTGATTACGCCTGAGGAAAAATAATTGGCAGGGTTTGGATGACTCACAGACTTGTTTTTCACTACACTTGCTTTTTAAAAAAATTTTATGTATGTATTATCTATTCAAAAACACATACATGAAATAATTAACTATTCAAAAACACATACATAAGGACCTGGCCTGGTAGCTCAGTTGGTTAGGGCATTATCCCAATACACCAAGGTTGAGGGTTCAATCTCAAGTCAGGGAACATACAAGAATCAACTAACAAATACATAAATAAGTGGAACAACAAATCAACCTCTCTCTCTCCCCTCTTCCTCCTTCTCTCTAAAATCACTAAAATTAAAAAAAAAAAAAAAAAAAAAAAACCACTACCACCACCACCACCACCACCACCACCACCACCACCACCCCCACCCCCCCCCCCACACACACACACACGGCCCTAGCCCCGTGATCAGCAAACTACGGCTTGTGAGCCACATGCGGCTCTTTGGCCCCTTGAGTGTGGCTCTACCACAAAATACCACAGCCTGGGCGAGTCTATTTTGAAGAAGTGGCATTAGAAAAAGTTTAAGTTTAAAAAATTTGGCTCTCAAAAGAAATTTCAGCCAAAACCGGTTTGGCTCAGTGGATAGAGCGTCTCAGACTGGAAGTCCCGGGTTCGATTCCAGTCAAGGTCATGTACCTTGGTTGCAGGTACATCCCCAGTAGGAGGTGTGCAAGAAGGCAGCTGATCAATGATTCTCTCTTATTGATGTTTCTAATTCTCTATCCCTCTCTCTTCCTCTCTGTGGAATATCAATAAAATATATTTTTTTAAAAAGAAAAAGAAATTTCAATTATTGTATTATGAGCAGATTTGGCTTTGTTGACTAATGAGTTTGCAGCCCACTGACCTAGCCGGTTTGGCTCAATGGATAGAGTGTTGGCCTGCAGACTGAAAGGTCCTGGGTTCAATGCTGGTCAACGGCACATGCCTGGGTTTTGGGCTCGATTCCCAATAGGGAGAGCGCAGGAGGCAGCTAATCAATAATTCTCTCTCATCATTGATGTTTCTATCTCTCTCCCACTCTCCCCTCCTCTCTGAAATCAATAAAAACATATATATATATATTTAAAACACACACACGCGCAAAAAAAAGTATCTTTCTTTGCTAGCAAATAAATAAAATACACCAATCTGGTAACAGGTACCTAAATTTTAGATATAAAGTACAGAGTCATCCTTCTCAAAATGAAATATATATTTAAGGGAAATGCCAAAAAATCAACTAGATCTTATTTGAGCATCAATTTTGTTTTAAAAACAAGTTTTTCCCTAGTTATATTTTATGCATGCCCACACATGGGGGGGAGAGAGGAAGAGAAGTAAGGAGAGAGGGGAAGAAGCAGAGAGAAAGTTAAAATAAACTTTCACTTTAAAGATAAAAGATTTACTTCAGATAACTTCAGGAAACTTTAAGAGAGGCACCATAGGGATAATGAGTAAAAAAGTATGCAAAACTTTAGTCTGCAAAGATCTAAATAATTCCTGATCTGAAATCAATAATAAATAAATAAATAAATAAAAATGAAGGCTTGCTCCTTTAGTCATTCTAGAACTAGTTTTGATGTGTAAGTGTACTGCATACCTAACTTTATTTTTCAAATTGTTAACCATTCCTAATAGCATCTGTTGAATAATCTTTAATTTTCCAAATAATTTGTGTAGCCACTTACTAAATACTATTTTCTTACAAATGTTAGGGATGTTTCTAAATTATTCAATTACTAATTATGTTAAGTCTATCATGTTTTGGTTACTGCTCCTCCCTTGGGAGGTATCAATTTTAAATAGTTTTACTTAAGACCATATTTTCAGTTTACAATACAGTTATTTCCCTGTGCACAAAT